TGTTGTCAGTTCATGTGTGGTTCATGGAGCTGGATCTCAGGGCACCTGCAGCCAGCCTGGCTTGGTGGGCTGATGACAGGATGGTGGACTCCTGGACAAGATGGTCCCACCTTGAACACCCTGCCTTGGCAGCCACCTTGGTCCCTTCTGATGTTTGGCTGATGGTATCTGAGGAGCTTCTCAGATGGCCTCTCACTTCCTTTGGGGATGACATCTCCTTACCTGCCCCCATGTCACCTAAGCATGACTAACTAAACTCAGATCCCTGTCCTGAAAAGTCATCACAAAAGCCTGTAAAAATGCATTTCAGAGCATAAGGCTTGGATAGTTTTGTAATAGAAATTCCCCCAAGGCTTTACGGTTGGCAAATTTATTGTGAGTGTACAGTGTTTTAAAGCATTGACTTTTTATCTATCCAAAAAAGAGCTCTCACCACACTCCCTGACATGGGCGACAACGTATAATCGAAATGCAAGGCCAAGTGTAGCTGATGAAATAAATTGCACATTTCCAGGGATATGGCTGGGCTGAGTGCCGGGATCTCACTGAGCCAGGCAGTTACACAGAGCAAGCCTGTGGAGATACAGTAAAGATGAAGCACCAAGAATAAACAGAAGAAAACACTTTCCGATTCATTCTAGAAGGCCAGGATTACCCTGACACCAAACACAACAAAGACTTCACATGCAAAGAAAGCTACAGGCCAGGTATGGTGGCTCAAACCTGTAATCCTAGCACTCTGGGAGGCTGAGCCGGGTGGATTGCTTGAGTTCAGAAATTGAAGACCAGTCTGAGCAAGAGTGAGGCCCCATCTCTGCTAAAGATAGAAAGATTAGCTGGGTGTAGTGGTGGATGCCTGTAGTCCCAGCTACTTGGAGGCTAGGGCAAGAGGATCACTTGAGCTCTAGAGTTTGAGGTTGTTGTGAGCTATGACACCACAGCACTCTACCAGGGTGACAAAGAGAGACTCTGTCTCAAAAAAAATAAATGAATAAAATAAAAACTCAATGAATAACAACTATTGCAGAGGATGTGGAGTAACTGGAACCCTACTATGTTGCTGCTGGGAATGTAAGGTTGTGCAGCCATTTTGGAAAACAGGCAGTTCCTTAAAATGCAAAACATTAAATTACTATATGATCTAGCTTCTGGGCACATATACCCAAGAGGGATGAAAACATGCATCCACACAAGAACTCATATGTGAATTTTTATCATAGTGTTATTCATAATAGCCAGAAATGGAAACAATCTAAATGTCTATTGGCTGAGCGCTGGCTATTGGCTCAGGCCTGGAATCCTAGCACTCTGGGAGGCTGAGGTGGGTGGATAGCTTGAGCTCATGAGTTTGAGACCAGCCTGAGCAAAAGTAAGACCCTTGTCTCTACTAAAATAGAAAAACTGAGGCAAGAGGATTACTTAAGCCCAAGAGTTGGAGGTTGCTGTGAGCTATGATGCCACAGCCCTCTACCCAGGGCAACAGCTTGAGACTCTGTCTCAAAAACAAGCAAACAGGGCAGCGCTTGTGGCTCAGTGGGTAGGGCGCCAGCCCCATAAAACCGAGGGTAGCGGGTTCAAACCCGGCCCCGGCCAAACTGCAACAAAAAAATAGCTGGGCATTGTGGGGAGCACCTGTAGTCCCAACTACTCGGGAGGCTGAGGCAAGAGAATCATATAAGCCCAGGAGTTGGAGGTTGCTATGAGCTATGTGATGCCATGGCACTCTACCAAGGGCGATAAAGTGAGACTCTGTCTCTATAAAAACAAACAAGCAGACAAACAAACAAACAAACAAACAAATGTCTGTCAATTGATGACGAATATATAAATGTGCTTTAGCCATACAATGGAATATTACTTGCCTATAAAAATGAATAAAGTGGTAATACAACATATATGAATTTTTTTTTGTCTTATTTGGTTTTTTGAGATAGAGTTTCACTGTGTCTCCCTGGGTAGAGTGCTGTGATATCATAGCTCACAGCAACCTCAAATTCTTGGGCTTGAGAGATTCCCTTGCTTCAGCCTCCCGAGTAGCTGGGACTACAGGGGCCTGACACAATGCCCAGCTATTTTTAGAGACTGGGTCTCACTCTTGTTCAGGCTGGTCTGAATTTCTGAGCTCAAGTGATACACCTCCTTCAGCCTCCTTGAGTGCTGGGATTACAGGCTGAGCCACTGCACCAGCCCAAAATGGATGAATCTTAAAAACATTGTACTAAGCAATAGAAGTTAATGGCAGAAGCCCACACGGTATATGATTTTATCTATATGAAACATCCAGAATAGGCTAATCCATAGAGACCAAGAACATATTAGTGGTTTCTAGGGGATGGAGAGAGGGCAGAATGGGGAGTTACTGCTAAAGGGTATAGGGTCTTTTTTGAAGGTGATAAAATGTTTTGAAATTTGATAGTCGCGATGGTTGCACAACTCTGTGAATATACTAAAACCCACTGGACTGTATCACGATATGCGAATGAAGCTGTCTTTCCACCATCTTTCCAGAGCTCCGGGAGCAGGAAGGGCTGAGTGCTGAGAGACGGAGCCTGGTGAGCCGAGGACAGACTTTGAGGTTGGGTGACTGCTGCCAAACTGGCCTGGTCTCCATTGCCTGACCCAGGTCAACACCCCCCTGTGCCCCTTAATCACTGAGTCTCCTACATACCACAAGAACCCCAGATTTCCCCCTGTCCTCGAGCCTCCTGGAGTTCCCTTTTCCATTAGCATCCAAATGAGATCACTTGAGTGGGAGCATTCATTTCAGATAGTCCAGGCTCTGCTCAGTTTCTGAGGGCATTTGGTGCTGCAGGTGGGGGCAGAGACAGAAACAAAAGAAGTCCTGCCACAGTGCTCGTGGCTTAGTGGATAGGGCGCCAGCCATATACGCCG